AAACTTTGCTAGATCCACCCCTGCACAGTTACCAGCTGTCCGCTACAAAGAAAAGGATCCTGGTGTTATTTGTCTCTCAGAAACAGTTCATAACTTTCCTCCAACTTATTCATGTCACCTAAAAGGTAAACCTGCTTTTACGGCTGTGGCTTCAGCAAACATCAGCTGATACTAGAAACTAATATTAAATAAATTCTAACAACAGCTGATCAAGCTTAAACATACTGCTGTTGTTTAGCACAACATCTGGCGCAAAGTGGGCGATAAACAAACAAGAGAGAAAAGCCGATCAGCTGATCATTGATCAGTTTCATGTTTGAAGTAGCAACAGGAGAGGGAGGGGGAGAGAATGAGAGGAGAAGATGCAGCTGACAGCATAAAGATAGAATAACTCCAGCTTTGTGTCTTTTTCCATCCTAGCTGAAGTCCGGGACAAACTGCGTCCCTTCTCAGCTCAACACAAAATGCATAATAATTTCTCTGAATGCGGGATGATTCTGTCTTTTTACAGGACGGTTGGCAACTCTACTAACTAACCTTATGAATAAAATAAAATTCACTATCAGTAACACCATAGTGTTAAAAATACATCTGGAAAAATATGCACTTACCTGTTCTTAATTATTATTTTAAGTGTGAATTTTATCATTTTTTTTTATTGTATTTTATTTTGAAAACCCAGAAACCGGATCTCACCCTAGCGTTTAGAAGCTGCTAAGGCTTCCGCTCCTCACAGCGGGCGTTTGCACTGTGAGGGTAAGTTCTGTAAAGAAAGGCTCTGGCATTTTTATGGTTTCTGGTGTGAATGTTGTTACATAAGTTGTACATGTCGATGTATATAGGTTCATATTGATGTTAGAAAGTTTCTGTGTAACCGAAACAAAGGCTGGTTGCTGTTAAACAGTGTTTCTGCCGTATTTATGCTCTTTGGCAGTAAGCTTTTGTCAGCCCCCTAGTGGTTGCTGCGCATAGCAGGAAATGTGTTTGGATTTACTGTTTTTCTGTGCTTTTTGTGATGTTGTTTTACATTGTAGGAGCTACAATTGCTGGTACCATCAGAAGACACCTGTTGAGTGTGTTTTATGTCTTCTGCAGGAATAAACTGTGAAAAGCCAACCTTTCTGAGCATCTGTGATTTTTGAAGAGCTGGAAGTGTTACAATAGCACCCACCCAGCTGAATAGAAACTGCTAGCAATAACATATAACATGCAAGCTAGTACGCAGCAGGAGTTATTGTAACTGACTGTAAAAAGTAAGCACAACGAAAATAAACTCCACCTAAACTTGGTTTATATCTGACCCAGATAGACTGCAGATCATAACTTCTTACCTGAATTTCAGTTCACCTGACACTTGGACGGGCAGCCGCCTCGGGTCTCTGCTCCAGAAAAGCTTGCGGGACGGGACTTGCGACAGAAAAGCCGGTCAGCTGATTATTGATTAGTTTTATGATTGAAGTAGCAACGAGAGAGGGAGGGGAAGAGAAGAAGAGGCAGCTATCACTGTTATCAGTGTAAAGACAGAATAACTTTGTGTCTTTTTTCATTCTAGCGGGACGAATCGTGTTCCTTTTCACCTCAATGCTATTTTCTTCGGTTTCTCTGTAAAAAGATTGCTTTCAGAGCCGTTACCCAATCAAGGGGGAGGGTGCATCCGACCTCCTTGGCTGTAATTGGTCCAGCCCAGAGTTGATCATGATCAATTGGCCAATCCACCACTTTTTATTGCTTATACGTTGCAAAAAACAAAAAAAAAAAACCATTGGCCCATAAAAACGAAAAATTACCATCGACAGTCCAGCTTTGTGGGTGGGTGATATTAAAACCCGATCCTTTTATCCCTATGATAGAACAGAGAAAACCCGACTCATAGTGGTCAAAACATTTATATTTCTTTTTATTCAATCATCTTCCGGAAGAGAGAGCCCTGCACAGCCCCAAAAGCCAGTTGCAGAAACTCTAACATTAGAATTTAAAAACGTCTCACATATAGGTGTTATTTTGGTACTTTACACGTCACACAGTTTCGATACAAACACTCCTTATATGGTAAAAGTTCCTCTTTTCTTTCTGGCTTCCTGTATTTATTAATATACTTGTATAGCTCTACACTAACTTCCTGTTTTTCAGTCTGGCTGAGCACTTAGTTTATGAGTCAAAAGTGGCCTTGCTCTACAAACCTTCATTATTAAAGTACATAAAACAATATAATAAGAAAATAAGCCTTAAAATATATATATTTAAATCTCAACAGTGATAATTCCTGATGTCAAAGTTCAGAGGAGAACAGGCAGACTGCTTCAAGCTGATAGGAAGGTTCAACTCAAACCATTTAACTCAACAACCATTTGTTGCAATGAAATTATATTTATTTTGTAAAAATACATTTGCACACTGATAACAGCAATCTTCATCTCAAATATTTTTTTATGTTGTCACTAAATGATCTAAAAAGATATCATAAAAACAAAAGTTAGACAATGTTGAAAATAAAAAGTCTAAATTTTTCTAAATTTATTATAACCAAGTAAACAAATCTCATGAGCCCTTAATCTGTCAGTGGATATTCATGTTTCATCTCTCTCCTTTCCTCTAAACTGTAATTAGAAAACTTGATTAATATACAAAGGTGAAAAACTGGAAGTTGTTCAACAGAAGACAATAAAATAAAATTACAAAATATACAGAATATTAACACATGAGACAAATTCAGATGATTCAGATTATATTACTGGACACAATTGATTAAATAATTCTAATTTAACTTTATCTGCAACAACTTTCAGCAAAAGAAAGATAAAGTAAAATGAATGTATTTGTTCAATGTAAGTGCAAAATACACACAAAAAGGCTTTATTACAAAAGCTACATTTCAATAACAATTACTTTTAAATGTTCAATCATTATTACATAGTAAGAGTCTAATCTCACATGCTGTGAGTCTCTTTAATTGTTAGAATTATGTATAACTATGTTGTAATAATCCTGTCATTTCTAAAAAGAATCTGCTATTTTACTTGAATCACTAAATCTTTCTTTCCGTCATTATGTAAGACATATAAACCGAAGAATGCTGTTTCTTTGACTCATTCGCACATTTCATCTAGACTTCTAATGGCTTTGCATTTAGAGATTGTTTTCCACTCACTGGGAATCTCTCCTCTATCCTGGAATTTTAAATTGTAGTGCTCTTCCAGTTTCTTTTGAAATCGACACACAAACCATTTCCAGTACACCAGTTTAGACTCATCAGGGGTGATTCTCCAGTCAGCATACTCTGGACCAGCAGTTCTGTACCGTTTATAGGGAACAGTTTCCTCTGAATCATGACAAGGATAAAAACTGCCATCACTTGCAACGTTTGTTGTGCAGAAATCAATGCTGAATTCCACTGTGCCTCTATAGTGCCATCCTTTGATTCCTTCAGGTCGATGAAAAGGGACACTATGGTCAGCACCACTGTGACCTTCAATGGTGTTAGTACAAACAGCTGCACAGAATGGACATTTTACCCAGCAACAATTACACAGCTGGTCAATGAGGATTTCATCAGGCTGCAGCCTGGATTCCTTCAGTTTATTCAATGAGAGACTCCTTATCTCATCACTTATGGGTGTAAATTCTTTCTTTAATGCTTCCATTAAGAAATCAAAATTATTAATGTCACTGAAGTTTTGAGAAGAAAACGTATCAAGAGTTAACTCATCTTTTAGCAAACTAGAAAATTCCTTCAGCCACATATTTATGTCTCCTCTCTGAGTTTGGACTTTCTGTGTTGCTGTAGATAAAGCTTGACTCATCAGCATGTTAATGTCATCAACATTTTTCTTGAGTATATTCACAGTTTTATCTCTGTGATCTATGAAGATGTATTTCTTTACTTCTGCTTTTATAAAAGCTTCTGTTTGGCTTCTTGGATTTCTGATGTAGGTGATGAAATCCTCAAAGTCTTCTTTCTCAGCGAGTGACTTCAGCACATGTTTCTCCAAGTTCAGCCTGTTCCCATTGAATGCTGGGAAATTACACCTCATCTTTCCAGCCAGACCAATGGCAGTCTTGTTACAGACAGCCTCAACAGTGGAAGCTTTCATCTTTTCACAGATCAGTTCTGCAAGCACAACAGCAGATGAGCTTCCTTTGCAAAAGCTTCTAAAAACATTGTAATACTGTGTTTTCTTGCTTTCTAAATAAGTGAGTGGATCATGATTCATTTTGAATTTCTTCTGGGAGTCTAGAAGCAAAATCTCTGCTTTGTAGAAAACATACAGTAAGAGGTCAACTTTAAAGTCCTTCTTCAAAGTACATTTACTTTCTGACTGAAATTTCTCCAATTCTTGATTTACAGTTGTTGCCACTTCTCGCAAGTAAGTTGATGTGTAGCCTCTTGTAGCCACAGGTTTGGTTTTGATCGAATCAAGGGACTGTTTTTCAGTGTTATCAATGAGCAATCTGATCTGTTGCTGTGCATCACGAGGTAAAGCACTGTATGATTTATGCTGTGAACTGTATCGAAAAAATGTTTTGGTATATTCCCAAAGAGTTGAGACAGGTTTTCTAACATATGTGCCTAGTATACTTGTGTGATGGTAATTCTCTACAATATCTCGACTTGGTTCACTTTCGCTTGTCTCATCAAGACCTTTAATCTTTTGAAGGATGACATAATCTGAATAATCACCAACAATGGATATTTTCTTGTAACTGCCATTTTGTTTGCATTCATTTATGAGTTTCTCTTCAAAACCAAGTTCTTGAAAGATTTTAAACTGATCTTCTTCCATGTAGATGTCTTTAACAGGTTTAGTATCTGCTGTCAATTCAGTGACCCAGCCCTCCCAAACAGAGCTGAACTGTTTTTTAAGCTCTTTTTCATCTTTGGCCTTGTCCTTCAGCTGCTGAGCGAGCTCTTTGCTCTTCTGTAGCAGCTTGTCCTCAAACTCTTTCTTCTTATCATCCATCTTTTTACGAGCCTCCTTTTGTTGAATAACTTCATCCAGTTTTTTTTTCACTGTGCTCACTTGTTCATCATGAAACTCTTTGATTTTGATTTCAAATCGGCCTCTCCACTGAGCCAAAAATTCTTTCTCTCTGTCCTCCTCAAAATACTTTTTCATTGATGTTTTTATTTTTTCACAAGTCTTGCTTGTATTTTCTTTGAGATAGGTCAGCTCCACTTTGTTAAGATTTCCATTTTCAATTCTGTTATAAAGCTGATTTTCAATGGTCAACATGTTGCTCCTGAGGTCCCAGGTCCAGTTTCCGTATTGGTCCTCCAGTTTTCTGTATGCTGCAATTTCAAGTGTGTTTTTAAAACTGAAAATAAAATTTTCATTGAGGAGGGCACTCCACAGATCTTGAATTGTATTTCTGAACTGTGACAGCGTGATCCCATCAGACTTTGAAGCTTTAGAGAGGATGGTGTTCTTCACTTCTTGGATGCTCTCGCTGTATCCTGGATTAGGAGGAGCCATGGGTGGACTACCCTCCCACAGCTGGGCACAGTATTTCACATCTTTTTGGACATCAAATTCAATGACATCACTGAAGCACTCTGCACTGTAAACTTCCTCTTCAGCTGCTAGTTTGGCCATTTTGTCCAGTTTTTCTAGCAGCCGTCTCTTTCCATCCATGTTTTTCTCTGCTGCTGCAACATCTGTAACATTCTGGTGAACAAACACACAACTGGGAGAAAGTTTAACTTTCTTCATCCTCATGAAAGCCTGAACAACAATCTGCAGGATGTCCTGCATCTCAGATGGATTCTCTCCAAAGATGTTGATCAGTGTCAGGTTTCCCAGACCAACAACAAATGTTGCCAGTTCGTTGTCATGGTGAAGAGTGATGTTACCTTCCAGCTCAAGAGCACGCAGTCCTTCAGTGTCCACCACTAGAAGATAGTCAAACTTCAAGTCTTTCTCTTTCTTCATCTCCTCTGATACTTTGAGCAGCTGCATGAAAGCACCTTTGGTACACCTGCCTGCACTCACTGCAAACTGCAACCCAAACATGGTGTTCAGCATTGTTGATTTTCCACTGCTTTGTAGGCCCAAAACTGACAACACAAAAACTCTCTGGTCCCCCAGTTTCTTGATGACTTCCTCTAAAAGACTGGAGATCCATGTTAAAGGCACGTGACCTGCATCACCATCCATCAGCTCCATCGGGTGTCCTGATATCATCAGCTGTGCAGCCAGCTCAGGGTATTTAGACCAGTCAGTGTGTCTGCTCTCTCCTTCTATTGCTCTATGAGCTTCATAGATCTGTCCCATTTCTCTGAAGATGTGCTCCAAACCAAAAGTTGCAGACTGCAGATTTTTGGATATTTCTTCAAGCTCAGTTTGTTTTTTTATTAACAGATCTGATTTGTTTTGTTTGTTCTTCAATGCCAAGACCTCAGACCACTTTTTATCATAACTTTGGAGAATAATTGACAGATCATCTGTGGAGAGATCATCCATCAAGATCTGAGTCCATTTCAGGAAATACTGTTTGTCTGTCAGTGGCAATGATGAGAGGCTTTCAATGAACAACTCCATCAGTTTACTGCAGGAAGCATCGCATTGTTCCTGACGTATGGTTTTCAGTTTGTGTTGCTTTTTACTTTTCTCCTTTTCAATGTGTCCTCTGAGATTATATAGTTCTTTGTGTATTTTGCTCCACTTATGCCATAGATCACCTTGGCATGGGAGAAATTCATGTTTGATTTTCGAGACATTCATGTTATCCTTTGTAAACAGATGCATCATGTTCTTTGCAGCAGATTTACCTTTCTGACAGGCTGGCTCACTTTCATCCACTCTGATTCCAGAGACCTCAGCCATCATTTCAAGCTGGAAGCATGGTTTTAAGCTGGGACCATCTAGAGAAGATAAAACTTCTTTAATGATCTCTTTCAGTTGTTCGGATACATCTGCCTGGCTTCTGTCCTTGAGACCTATGATGTATATTCCCTTTTTTCCCTTAATGTTACAGCTGTCGACACAGAGACAAATTAGAGGTTTGCGAGATTTAAGACAAGCTGATATAAATGCCTTGTTTTTTTGATTTTCCTGCAGAGAAGCAACAAAAACAATGTTCACTGAGGATTTTTCAATTAGTATGTCACGCTGTTTTTCAGTCAACAGAGCATCACCATGAAGATTACAAAAGGCAATGCAGTCATTGAAGGCATCATTGGGTTTTCCAGCAGGACAGTACCAGGCAATCTCTGCCACACCATCTATCAGATATCGAGACTTGGTGCTTCCTGGACAGTTTCTATGGAAGAAGGTGTTGTGACGGTCGTTGATCAAAGTGTTGATCAGCTGAGATTTAGACACTGACAGAGAGCCCAGGCGGAAAAATGACACCAAGGGTGTCTGAGCTTTACAGGCTGGGACACTCTTCATAGTGACAGTATTGGAGCCGTCTTTGATTTCAGTCACCTTCCAGGTTTTTGTTATTTGTCTGAAAGTCCACAGAGGACACTCGATCTCCATAGTGACTGGGTCAGGAACGAGCAAAGGTAAGGCATACTGACACTGAGAGAGCTTTGTAATCATCATCTGTTTAAGGAAGCTGTCTGAGCAGTGAAATACTGCCATCTGAACGTCTATTGGATGCACACGAGTCTGTTCTGTGAGATCTGTGTCTACAATACTTAATAAAGCATCCAAATCACTGAAATCATTCTCAGTACTTTCATTGTCTCTAATAGACTCTGAATGGGTTGCCTCAGGACTGCCTGGTCTTACAGGAATATATCTGGCTCTGTAGTCTAACATCAACATCCTGTATAGAAAAATGTGAGCTAGCTCTTTCTCAGATGTCACATGGTGCTGTTTCACAGGTTCACATATTTGAAGAAAATCTGCTGGTGATAACGTCTGTTGAAGTTGAAGATGAAGTCTGACAAACAGCTTTGTTTCTTGACGTGATGTTGTGTTGCTGCTGTCTTCAGAACCATTCCATGACTGCAGTAAATAAGCAAATAAACATGTAGTCTATGTAAAGAAAGTTATACAGTGTGGTAAAGTAAATTGTTCTTCACATCTGTTTAAATAAATGGTGATTTTTTTTTACCTTGTCCTTGATTGTACTGATGTCCTTGATGTCTGAAGTTCCTGTAGTTTAAAGTAGAACCAAAACGCTGAATCAACATGTGCTCAATCCAATACAATTCTCTAGTTTTTAGTTTTTGTTGTTGTTTTGCAAAACTTTCAACCTTTTTGTTTTTCTTAACTCCATAGTTTAAATAGATAGATAGATAGATAGATAGACTGGTTCTTATATAGCGCTTTTCTACTCTTCTGAGCACTCAAAGCGCTTTACACAACTTGTGCATTCACACAAGCACATTGATCTAAGTGCTTTCTAAGTAACATTCACACACATTCATACTCCGATGGATGCATCGGAGAGCAATTTGGGGTTAATATCTTGCCCAAGGATATTTGGCAAGATATTAACTTGCCAAATATCAGACTAGGGGAAGCCAGGAATTGAACCACCAACCTTCCAATCAGTAGATGACCTGCTCTACCGCCTGAGCTACAGTCACCCCAGACTGTTATCAAGACCTTCACCCTACACACAAGATCCCTGGTTTGAGCCTGGGAGGAGGTGCAAAACCTGGATAGGGTTGTGTGAGGACACCCAGTGTAAATGTGTGCCAAATGAATTATACAAATCAATCTGCTGTGGTGAACTCTAGTCAATAGCAGCTGAAGTAAGCTTCTTTTAACAATTTCTGTTTTTGTTTTTTTTTCCCTGTTAATGTAGAATCCAAATTTTTTATTTAAAAAAAAACCCCTCTTAGTGGTTTCAGATGATTGTGTAGCTGGCAGAGAGGGCAGGAGACTAAACAAGATGAAGCATGACAAGACAGTCTGAAGAAAAGTGAAGAAACTGAAGAAAAGTAGGGATTAGAAGCTCGATACAGACGTTTTGAAACTGTGTAAAGTGCAGCTGTTTCGAAACACTGATACAAATTGCGGTTCCAAACACCCAGGTCACGTGACCATGACTAAATCCAAGGTCTTGGTGTATTTCACCATAGTTTCAACAGGTGGCCTACCTGCTGCTTCTAGGCAAGGCACCAGGATTAATATTTTGTTACGAAACAGAGTTATTTGTAATTACTGAATTCTTGTTTTTGATACTACCACTTCCATTTATAGTACACCCATGTATAAGAGAAAACAATACCCCATTTGTCATTATTATTTTTGCTGTGGATTGTGAAGACCAATGTAATCCATCCAAGCACTTAAACACTAGAATCAAAATTATAATCAAATATATATATGGACTATTATAATGATTACTGGCATATAGATGAAAGAAAGCAAAAAAGACAGAAACTGGTGAGTGAGCTCTATTCACTCCAATCAGCAGAAAAAGAGAGAGTAGTGCTAATGAGTGCTACTCATTAAAATACCTCAATAAACACTGCTTCTGCTTTCAAGGACAAAATAAAACAGGCAGGAGTTTTCAGCTCTGACTCCATCTGTTCTCCAGTTTTTTTCTTTTGTCAGAAATTGTTAATTCTTGTAATAAGTTATGTCATCCTCACTATAACCTGCTGATCACATACTGTACTGCCATAGGGAAAACATTTATAATGTAAATACAAAAGTTAAAAAACATCCAATAAGTACAAGCAATCTACAGTAGGTATAGGTTGCAGACAAAGTTAAAAAGAGTTTCTTCATGGTTCAGAGGTTGCTCAGCAGAAAATGACTTAAAAATGTACTAGGTAACATGCGTGAAATGGACTCTTGCCATTGGTCAGAATTAGCTTATCAATATATAATAAAATAATAAAAATTTATGCATGGCAGCTTCTAGCTTTGATTGAAAGTGTAGAACAAACCTGATGATGTAAGGAACACACAGAAAAACTCAAAAGTCGACCAAACACATCCAAAGTTTGAGGGCTGTGAGCAAAAGACAAAGCTCACTGAGCCCAAAACCAGCTGCAATCCTATGTGGTTATTACAATAAATACAGCAGTCCGCTAAAAACAAAATAAAAACCACTTGCACGAAATCTTGCCGAAACCCAGGACCCGGGCGATGAGGGATGTACCGCATTCTGGTAAGGTGTCAAGGGGTATACACCGTGCTTTGGTGGACACAGGTTGTATATTGACCCTGGTCCACCAAAACCTGGTTCCCCCTGTGGATTTGTTGGAAGCAGAGTGGGTGTAGGTGAAATGTGTGTATGGGGATGTTGCTGCTAAAATTCAGGTGCAAAACGCATAAGATAAGGGCTGCTGTTAGCCCGTGCCTGTCATGTCCCCTAATTTTGGGCACTAATTGGTCGGGGTTTAATAACCTGTTGTATTTGGGGATACAACAGGTTAGATTTGTGTGGTGTTTGCACGGTGCTCAGCGGTGATGCAGTGTTGTCCAACACTGACACCGGGGAGGAGCAGACGTCAGAGCCTTCTGCGGAGGCCCTGCCGTCTCTAGGGGTTCGCCCCACGGAAGATTTTCCACTGGAGCAGTCTCATGATGACACCCTACGCTCAGCCTACGACCAAGTGATATTGATGGTCATCTGGTCTGACCTGAGGCCGTGCAGACATACCTGGACTTCGTATTAGGGAATGATAGGCTGTATTGAGTCAGTTGCAACACTTGCACTGATAAAATACACAGCCAGTTGTTGGTGCTGCAAAGCCGTCGGGAAATTATTTTCCAGGCAGCTCATTACAACTTCATGGCAGGGCATATGGGATGCGACAAAACTCTGGAAAAAATAATGGCCTGATTTTATTGTCCGGTCATCTGGGCAGATGTGCAGCGCTAGTGCGCGTCATGCCCGGAGTGTCAGCTGGTTAACCAGCCAGCCGTTCCAAAAGCACCATTGTGCACTTTACCATTAATGGAGGTCCTGCTCGAACACATTGGTGTGGACTGCATCGGGCCATTTCACCGGAGTGCACGTGGATATTGCTGTTTATTAATTCTGGTACATTATGCAACACAATACCCGTAAGCAGTGCACACTACTGTGCACCATCTCTTGTTTGCATTCCAGGAGGTGCCCCAGGCCTCCACGGGATTTTCTCCCTTTGAATTACTGTTTGCCACAGGGTGTACTCTACCTTATTAAAGAAAACTGGAAGCCCCGCAAAAAAAACTGAGATTCCGTATGTGTTAAACCTGAAAACAAAGCTATACACTTCGGGGAGGTTATCATGCGCAAATTTGCTCCAGGCCCAGCAGCGTCAGGAAAACCTGTACAACAGAGGGACAAGACAGGCAATTTTGACCAGGAGTTAAAGTGCTTGTATAACTCCCTTTTTCCAGCTCCAAACTACCTCACACAGGCCCATCCTGGCCGTACCTCTCTCATTGAGAACCATTTTGAAATGCAGCCTGGTGCGTTCACGGACCTACAGGTTGCCTGAACATAAATGATAAATGGCCTGTATTTGTATAGCGCTTTACTAGTCCCTAAGGACCCCATGACCGAGACTGTCCGAGTTGGGGCTCGAACTGGCAACCTTCCGATTACAAGGCGAACTCCCAACTCTTGAGCCACGATCGCCCCATAAAGGAAAGATAGTTCAGAGGGAATTGGCTGAGATGCTGAAGCTGGGAGTAATAGAAGAGCTGACTATCGCAAGGTGAACGAAGTGTCACAGTTCGCTGCTTATCCCATGGCCCAGGTTGACGAGCTCCTGGAGTGGTTAGGCACTGCCCGCTTTTTCACGACACTGGATTTGACCAAGGGCTACTGGAAGATTCCCTTATCTGCAGTCCCTGGAAAAAACAGCTTTCACATGCCATGGATGTGACCCCGGCCTCAGATGGGCAGTGGGGGTGTGGTCTCTGGCCTGCTGCTGTGGAGAGCGGTACAGTTAGCTTTCAGAGCAGTGCTGAGGTGTGGCAGAGAGGGCAGGTGAAGGTGCTCAACGTAATGGTCCTCTTCTTCTCTGTGTATATATAGTGACGGTGGAGGTGGAGGAAGGTGTTGAATGGAGCAGCTGTTCCCGAGTGATTGGCGCCGAAATGTCAAAAATAGCTGCAAAAAATGAAATAAAAACCACTTGCACTTGCGCGAAATCCTCTGTGTGTGGGGCCCTTATCACATAGGGTGACACAACTGGGAAGACAGGAAGTAATATAAACTAAACTGGGGTATACAGAAAGCCAACAAACAGTGCATACAGCCAGTTAGGAGGGAGATCTAGTGCAGGACAGAGGGATACACAGACATAATTACACACAAGGACAAATAAGGGAACAAACGGCTGGGGGCAACACAGCTGAATGTGATCTAACTAATGAGACAGGGGGAAACAAATTTTTACATGACGTACACCAGACAGGAGACTATCTAGACTAAGTAACACAGGAAGCACTAAGACGCAGACTAATTCACACAACATGACACAGGAGCTAGGAGGAAAGAACACTCGGGGAAATGAGACGGACTAGAGAGATAATGGAAGGAGACAACAAGGGGGACACGGAAACAGTTGAGG